TAGAAATCTTGAAGATATAGGGGTAGGTAGAGAGTTCATGAACCGAAACAAAATTGCATGGCAAGTACTTCATAGAACCAACAACTGGGATCTTCTTAAAAGTTTTGCACATCAAAATAAATCACCAACAGAGTGAAAAAAACCAAAAACTAAGAAAAAATTTTCACCAACTGTCCTTCATACAATAAACTTCTCAGTATTTGATCTTTGATGAAGGTGGCTAAACCATACACTGGAGGAAAAATAACTTCATTATTAAATGGTGCTGGGAAATCTGGTTATCCACATGCAAGAAGAATACATCTATACCCATATCTCTCACTATGTAATAAAGAAAAACAAAAGGGAAAAAGGAACTAAATATTAAAACAGAAACAACCTGGTGTAAGACAAAATTGGTAAAATTCTAGAATCCTAGGTATAGGTACCCTCTTAACTGAAATCCAGTTGTATAGGAAATGCACCAAGAATCAACAAGATGAAGTCAAATTAAAAAGCTTCTGCACAGCTAAAGAAGCAACTAACAGGGTGAAATGAATAATTACAGAATTACAAGAATTACAAGACATTTTCACCAGCTATTCCTCAGGTAGAGGACTAATGTCTAGAATATACAAAATATTCAAAAATTAGGCCTTCCCCAAATAAAGGATTAATTAACAAAATTGGCAAGTAAAATGAATACACATTTCACAGAAATACAAATAGCCAATAAATACACAAAGAAGTTCTCCACAGTTTGAAAATTCAAAGAGAGATTCCATCTTACGGCGATAAGAATGGATATCATCAAAAATCATATAATAAGGGATTCTTCTAAATAGTTGGTGGCAGTGTAAACGATACAAGGACCATGGAAATCAGTATTAAAATTCCTTAAAACACTAAAAATAGATATTTCACTACATCCAGGTATTCCCCTGCCAGGTATGTTTTCAAAAGAATGAAAGACATTGTGTTACAGTGATACTTGCATATCGATGTGTGTGGCAGTACAACTAAACGTTTTTTTATTTTTTAATATTTTTTATTAATTTTATTGAGAAACAAATAACAATGAGACAGTTTCAAAACCGATTAGTAGCACAGTTTCAGTAATTAATACATTGCATATTGTTGTCTTCATAGTGGTTATTCACAGTACAAGATGTAGACATGATATCCTGTCCAAACGTTATTAGTACAAATCTTCCTTTTCTCACTGAATTAAGAGAGAGTAACTGTATATCTATCCTAACTATTTTGTATATACAGATACAAAATGGTCTTTCCTTTGTAACCCCTTTTTTGTTTAGTTTTATTAGAGATGAGTATTCCATTGTCATTTAAATATTGTAGGTGTGTGAATTCAGCAAAATAATACAATATAGTCCAGTAGTCCGTAATAGTAGTGGGTTATCCTTAGGACTGGAAATGTCACAAGTCAGCACAACTAAATCCTAAAGTGGCTTATATGTCTATCAGCAGGTGAATGCATAAGGAAAATGTGGTATTTGCACACAATGGAGCACTACTGAGCTGATCTTATAAGCAAACGAGTTATTTGTAAGAAAATGGATGTATATTGAGATCATCCTGTTAAGTGAAATAAGTCAGACAGATGAGCTTGTATGGTTTCCTTTACATAAAAGCCCAAAATATAAATAAAGAGTAAAATACAAGATAGATAATGGGAAGAAGGATGTTTCTCAAACAGGAAGAGGATGAAGAAGTGATGGAGCAATGAGCGAGGGGAGAGAAATGGATAAAAAAAGAATAAAGATGTGCCATGTACAAGTACCAACCACACACATAGAATATAAGCATTGTGTACTGCAGACACGTGCTTATAAAAATATTTAAAATGTCAGAAAATGACTCAGAAAAGATTGAATATGAATAGGACGTCTAAGCTGGGCAGAAGCAAGACAAACAACAGCAAACCCAAAAGGCATAAACCAGCACAACTGGCTCAGAGGGTTACAGAAGTTCAAGGCCTTCCGGCCCACGTTAAGAAATCTGGACTTCAGTAGCTCAAGTATTCTATACAGAAAAATAATGTTTTGGGACCCCGCACCTTTTTTTTTTCTTGTTTATATATTTTTTAAGTGAAATCACAGAAATAGCATGAGGAATTCAATCTTGGGGGAGATGTGGAGACATAGGTAATTATTCATTTTTCCAGAAAGAACCATCAGTATGAACTAAAGCATTGGGTGTAAAGT